TTACATGCTGTTAATTCTCATAACCTTTTGCAGTTCCTCTGTTTATCATCAAAATACATCAATCTTGGAAGAGTAGCTTTTAAGCCTTCTCCATGAAGGCATTAGGGGAAAAGTAATTTACCAGTAGGGATTTTTGATGTGGTTTTCTTGGAATCACTTGATTCTGGTTTTTAATTGGTGGATTGTTGCTAGGCCTGAGAGAATCTCCGTGAAATAAAATACAGGATAACCTTGGTTTGTGAGCATAATTCATTCCAGAAAGATGCTTGTAATCCAAAGTACTCATATATCAAAGCGAATTTCAAGAACCATTGGCTCCATTGCAATCGTGTGAAATTCAACATTACATACTATTCGTATTGCAAAACATTGCTCATTTATCAAATTAAAATTTATCAGAAATGTTTGCTCGTCTTGCAGAACACACAGAGAACAAATTTCTCATGATCCAGGGTTTTACTGTATATGGAGAAGAAAGAGTGCAGACTGTCACTGTGGGTTATTTCTCTTTTTCAGTCTTTTAGAACAAAACTCAGTCCTACCCTGAATCCATTCATTCATTCATTCATTCATTCATTCGTTCACTCATTCATTCATTTATGTTTTTTAAAGTAATCTCTATACCCAGTATGGGGCTAGAACTCACAATCCTAAGATGAAAAGTCTCATGCTCTACCAACTAACCCAGCCAGGCATGCCCCTTCAGTCCTACCCTGAAATTCACCAGATCAGGTGAATAATAATAAAGAGGTCAAATGAGACAAAAGAGTGACTTGCTAATAATTACATTATTATATATGGTAATAATCTGTATTATTACTTTAAAAAGCCAAAATATCACTTTTTCCACATGCAGGCGCTCCATGCTTATTTAATGCTCACAATGGCCCATTTTACAGATGACAGAACTCACAGATGACTGAACCACGGTCACAAGCTTGTAAGTGCTGGGGACAGGATTGAAACCTGGCCTGTCTGGTGCCAGAGTGCATGTTCTCCACGTTTGAACCTGTGATGCCTCACCTCAGATGATCTTTTTCTGTGACGCTTAATTGTTTTACATAATGAAGGGGGTGGGAGTTGTTTGCCACTCATAAGTGAAAATCTGCTAAGATGACTTTAGGTTGGGCCTACAGTACAAGTGGCTCTAAGGAGTATTGCATGCAGCATGCAGCCCAGGCCACCCACAGGTGCTGCTGACCAGCTGGCACTTCAGGTCTGTGGATGCCTGCCTTTGGGTGACCTGTTCTGCATGATCCCCAGGTCCTGAGGAGGCAGTGGGACTGGGGATACCATTCCCTGCTGGTGGCAGGTTTCTCTGACTTTCAAGACCAAAACCAGTGGCCCTGGCCTGGTGGCTGTAGGCATCTCCAAGATGTGTGAACCCTTACACCAACTGCTCCTGTTTGCAGAGCTAGGAGCAGGCCCTTTGTGGGCAGAAACCATCTATGTGCCGTCCCCATCCCTTTTTACCGGATGCCAGGACTTAAGGCTTTAATGCTCTGATGTATTTCTTCCTGTCTTCCACTTCAGGAAAACTGATTTCTCATCATCCAAAAGGGAACATGTGATTAATGGCAAGTGTAAAGTGCCCACGGTTCTTTGATAATTGCTTCTTTTTTTTTTTTTTTTTAACATCTTTATAGCCACCTTCAGACTATAGTTGATTTCAGGCAGTTGGGAAGGCATTTCTGGTGAGTCAAGGCTAAAAAGGTCATTATATGCAAGTGTCGTACCTGTGTCCTTACATCAAATCACTGTGTTTCCCCTGCCCTAGCAGGAATGCTAAAATACATATGTATCAGCCAGACTGCTCTTACGTTTTTCTACCTGATGAAATAAAGTAAAATCTCTGCTAAAATTCCTAGCAAAAACAGAAGTGGAGGGGTCAGAAAATTATTTTACTTATTCAGCTCTCAGATAGTGTGTCTGGGAGGCAAAAACATTTCTCCTGCTATGGGTGAGGGTAACCATTTTGGGGAAGGATACTTAGCCAGTGCCTCTCAATGAGTGATCTGGGGATCTTGATGAAATGCGGAAGCTGGTTCTGGATGTCTGGGTGGGGACTGAGGGTCTGTGTCATCCCTGGCAGTCTCAAAGGTGGTGCAGATTTATCAGGACGTCTCAAGGAATTAGACTTGGACCACCTATGGGAGAAGGCCGAGAGAACCCTACTGGAGAGAAACTGACAGTTCATCATTGTCATATCGACAGTAACACTGACATATGCACCGGTCACAGCATGTCATTTGCAGCAAGGGAAGGGTGAGAAGTCAGACTGTGGAATCATTTGCCCATCAAGGGACAAATTTGGCCTCCACAAACCTAGACCCTCCTTCGGAAAGTTGCCTTGTGATCCTTCATGTGATAGCATGGAGTGTAGACTAGTGTGTGGGATTAGATGTCCCAAAGTGGGTCTTTGGTAAAGGAATCTAGTTGCGGATAATTTTCATACTTACCATATTACAGAATTACCTATCACAGGTGGTGGAGAGATAAACCACTAGCTGTGTGCTGTGCCCACTGCACCAGCAACCCACTGACATGAAGCCATTGTGCTATTTTGACATTATCTCTCTGACTTTGTTTAAAGGTTACCTGGGTGGCCAAGTGCTTCATTTTCTCTTCTGAGGGTACCTGGGTGGCTCAGTCAGTTAAGTGTCTGACTCTTGATATCAGCTCAGGTTATAATCCCACGGTTCATGAGTTTGAGGCCCGCACCAGGCTCTGTGCTGATAGTGCAGAGCCTGCTTAGGATTCCCTCTCTCCTTCTCTCTCTCTCTCTCTCTCTGTCTCTCTGTCTCTCTCTCTCTCTCTGTCTGTCTGTCTCTCTCTCTGCCCATCCCCCACTTGTGTGCACATGCACTCTCTCTCTCTTAAAATAAATAAACTTTTTTTAAAAAAAAAAAGGTTACCTGGGTGGTGAAGTGCTCCATTTTCTCTTCTGATAAGAGCCTGTGCTGAGCCCAGAGCCATGAACTTACCCTGGCTAATGCCAGTTTCTGGTTTCCATGGCAAATCTATGCATGTGCTTAATAAGTGAAAGCTAGCACGTGCACCAGTTTGCCCTTTCTAAAAAGCCCCTGATCTGTTATTTTTAAGAGCAGAAATGCCAGGTCTGGAGCGAATACCTGAGTCCCACCAGAAGTGATCTTTAAGTGAGCCTGATCTGTGCATGTGGAAAGAAAGAGCATCACAGTAAATGGCCAGGAGAGGGATGCTTAATCCTGTTTTCTTAATTAAATGGCAAAAAGTCCTTTATAAGCTACATTCAGTGAGGCCAGGTTTCTCTCTCACTCACTGGTAACTGCAATGATGGTCTGTTTGTGGTGGAGCAGGAATGGAAACGTTGATGACTTTGTTCTTCTTTCCTTGCAGTCGAGCCAGTGTGGATATTGGCTGGCATGATGTCCTATCCTTGTTAGGGCTGATTCTGTCCTTGTGGCCAACTGTAATTTGTCTGTTTTTCCCTCAAACCTGCCCCCCCTCATATTGCCTTTCGATCTGCTACCTCAGCTCTGGTCTCTAGACAACCAGCAGAAGGGGCGTAGCAACCGATCTACAAACAATCTTTGAATAGAGAGGCATAAAAAGTATTCTCTCCTGAGAGTCTTTCTGCTTTTTTAAAAAGTCATTTTAACTCTACTTTGGGGGCACCTGGGTGGATCAGTTGGTTAAACATCCAACTTCAGCTCAGGTCATGATCTCGTGGTTCGTGGGTTCGAGCCCCATGTCAGGCTCTGTGCTGAGGGTTCAGAGCCTGGAGCCTGCTTCAGATTCTGTGTATGTGTGTCTCTCTCCCTCTCTCTCTCTCTCTCCCCCCTCCCCTGCTCACATTCTCTCTGTCTCTCTCAAAAATAAACATTAAAAATATATATACTTTTTAAAAAGTCAGCTTTGAGGAATACTGCATATTATAGAAGACTAGCAAGCAAACACACATGTTCTGTAAGGGAAATGTAGAAAACCTGGCTCCCATTCTAGCCCTGAGGACCTTGAGTATAGGAATTTACATACTAATCTGTACTGGCTGGCACTTGGATGCTACCATTTAAGCTTTGTGACCCTCTTTTTTAGGTCAAATTAAGAGCATAGATTCTTTTGCAAACAAGGGGGACCATGGTGCCCCCCGCCTTCAATAGACAGTTATTGAAGGCAGACAATGGTGTTGTTTTGAAGCTATGAAGATGAACCAGATTTGCCTCTGTCAGAGGAGCTGACTATCTAATAGGGACAGAGGAAGGGTAGTGGGACACACCCATGTCATCATGGGCTGCAGAATTCCAGTATGGAGGAGGAGATACTACATGGTCCAAATCTGCCTTATTGATTGTTTTTTGTGGGTTTTTTTTTCATTTTTTTGTTTTTGTTTTTGTTTTGTTTTGTTTTGGTCTTGTTCAAATAGATTAGCTGTGATGCAGCTTGGTCTGTGTTGGTCTCACAAGTGTGAGTAGGTTGCCCGGAGCTCTGAACTCCGAAGGAGCACTAGAGTCGGGGCCAGAAGGAGGGATGGTGCAGGTGGGTGGGAGTGAACAGGTGCTCTGTCCAGAGGTTGAGGGGGTCCCCTAATATGGCATCATGAGGGGAAGGAATGGGAGCACATGAGTCTGAGAGGGATCCTGCCTTACAACAAGCTCAGTAACATCCAGAGAGCAGAGGAAGTAGAATTGTGTGATACAAATACTATCCCCATACAAAGCAGCGTTTCCTAGTTTCTGGGCTGGGGGCCACTCTGAATTAGAGCGTTCTTTTGCCACTGACTTGCTCTGTGACCTCGAGCAATGATCGCTCCCTTCCCAGTTCAGTCCTCAGCTCATCCAGCTGTAAAAACAAGGATCTCAACATTGACATACGATGTAGGGCTCTCGTGGAGTCCAGCAAATAAATACGATTTTATAGTTGTTGGCTGTTTGAGAAGTGCACTGACCATGGTGCACCCGTGGTTCCTCCAGGCTACGGGTCAGGGTGCTCACATCTCTCTTGTCCCTTCTGTGTTCCAGGAATAGAGCTGTGCCCCCCTGGAAAACGGTTCATGATCACGATGGTGGCGAGCTTCGTGGCCATGGCGGGGCAGTTCCTCATGCCCGGGCTGGCCGCCCTGTGCCGGGACTGGCAGGTCCTGCAGGCCCTCATCATCTGCCCCTTCCTCCTCATGCTGCTCTATTGGTCGTGAGTATCCTCCCCACAGGCGTCACCGCCTGGTACATCTGCAAATGCTTTCTGAAGGGCGCATCCCCTGGAGAGGAGACACATGAAGCAAACGACTGGGGTCCCACAGTGCCCCGGCTTCTTGCCGGTTTCAGCTTGTGCTTTTTTGTGTGTGTGAGGGAATTTTCCTCTTTTATGAAATTTCATTTTTTAAACACTTTATCTTGGGAAATGTTGAAACATACACAAAAGTAGACAGAAGAGGGGAGTGAGTTCCCAGGTGCCCTTCACCCAGCTCCAGGAACCTGCCCTCTATCAGTCTGCTCGGACTCCTGCTTGCTGGGTTCTTTTGACACGATTTTTATGAATTGATTTGCAAAGGGCGGGTTCTTGTATTGGAAGGGGTGAAATACGGAGATGTTCAAGGAGTGATTTAGGAAAGCCCCCTTATCACTTCCAGATTAGGGATGGTCAGAGAGACTATGGCCCATGGACCAAATCTGGCTCGCCATCTGTTTGGGGAAATAAAGTTTTATTGGAGCACAGCCTGCCCACATGTTTGCATAAGTGTCATCATCTCTGGCTGTTTTCACGCTATAGTGGCGGAGTTGAGTACGTTCCACAGACAAAGTGGCCTACAAAGCCGAATATATACCCTCTGCTCCTTTACGGAAGAAGTTTGCCCACCCCTGCCCTCGATGAGTCCACTGGGACTTTTCGAACCATGTGTGACTTTGGCTTTTGGCTGGGGTGACTGTAGGCGGGAAACAACTGAACACACAGGGCCAGGGGGTCTGACCTGGGCAACCAGATTTTTAAAAACATCGATGTTTATCAATTGGCTGAACAGCCGAGGTCGAAAAACCCCACTTGTGAATAGAAAGATGTTTAGGGGAAAAATGATTGTTTGGCCTTTTTTATAAATAACTCTTTTCTTTCTTTCCCGGCCCCTCCCAGCCCCTCTTCATGCCAACAGTCACTTCACACCCTTAGCGCGAGACACTGTAATATGGATAACGCGTACTGTGTTGTGTTGCTCTTGTTTAGTCACTGACGAAAACCAAATTTCTGGCAAGAGGTCAGTTGTGTCGTAGCTTTCAGGAGCAGAGAGGGCTGCTCATCAGGCTTCCTTTTCTAAGGTGCCAGGGAGGAGAAGAAAGCATCTACCTTCTAACTTCACGGTGCTGGGCCCTGGCCCCACCCTGCCGGTAGGTCCTGCGGCAGAGAAACCGTTGGGTGAGGGCACAGGTGCATTTTCCTCCAGAGCCCAGCTCTTGCTCACTAGATCAGGAGAGCCTCAGCAGCAGGCAGCTGGCGGTAACAGATGAAAAAAGGCCACCTGCCGGGGAGCCGCGCATCAGGGGCCAAAACTGCGCCTGTCTCCTCTTCTTCTCTCCCCACGCTTCCTCCAGCCTTGCCAGCCCGCTGGGGTTGGACATCACACCCCCTCCCGCGGGAGCTGTGCATATTTCAGGACATCCTGCTCCCTCCAGCAGGGTCGCAAGAGGCAAAGAATGAAATCGTTTCCCAAAGCAGGATGGAGTAGGCAGTTCTTCCTTTTAATCTTCTATGCAAGTCCTTCCTGTTCCTTCCCTTGGTGCATCCAGAGTTTGCTTCACTTGTTTTGGAATTCAAGGGCATTGATTTATTTAACAAATGCTTATACCGTGTTTGCTCCATGTCAGACACAAATTGCAAGCTCTGTACAAAGAGTAGATTATTCAGTCTTTGTGTTTCATCACCCCATTGTACAGATGACAAAACTGAGGTCTCCCAGCTGGCCCTTGAACCCAGGCCTCTCTCAACCACACGCAGCATGGCCTCCTGCCTTCCCTGTGCTTCTGTCTCATGTCTCTGACCACTGGAAACCCTCGCTCTGTGAGGTCTGGCATCATCTCAGCCACCTCCTCTCACTATTGCCCCAAGGGCCCCCAGGGCTGTCTGCCGGCCCCTGGGGGACTGGACAAGGTAGGCACAGCCTCTTGGAGGCTCACACTCCCATACAGGAAGATGGGGTTGTCCCCACCACCTCTAGGCTTTGAGTCTCAGCCAGTGTTGTTTCCATCTGTCCCAGTTAGGAGGACACCTGGCAGGGGAAAAATGGCAGGAAAGGGTTTCCTGGAATAGGTCTGTGGACCTGACCCACATGGTAAAGGACTGGGGGTTTTGCTTATCGTATTTTCTCTCTTATTTAAATTTAAAAAGTATATCAAGGTTTAATGACAGGTAGGACATTTGTTTATTTAAATATGTTATAAAACCTAAGGAAAAAAATCCTTTAAAACTCACAAATGTAAAAATAAAACTTTATAATGAAAAAGGGCACCCAGGGTAATTTAATAAGTGAGACGTGTGTACACACGAACAGATAGACGGATGAATGTGCCGAGGCACTGACGCCATGTGGTTACAGCTCTGGTGCTGCCCTCTGGGGTAGACCAGCTCTACCCAAATATGTTACCTGCTGCGATCATCACAGTACAGTAAAACCTTGGTTTGCGAGCATAATTTGTTCCAGAAACATGCTTGTGATCCAAAGCACTCATATCTCAAAGTGAATTTCAAGAACCATTGGCTCAGTTGTGATCATGTGATGTTCCATGTCACATACTACTCGTATTGCAAGACATCGCTCATTTGTCAAGTTAAAGTTTATTAGAAATGTTTGCTTGTCCTGCAGAACGCTCACAGAAGAAGTTACTTGCCATCCAAGGTTTTACTGTAATTATTTTTTATTCATATTATTCTCTAAGGGGCTTGGCACATGTTTGACCTACAAGTGCTCATAAATATTAGCTACTTTATGACTGCGATTGTATCACTTCTTCATATGCATGGAAACTAGGATGTAGCCAGGGGCAGGGTAAAGAAATCACTGGTGAGGGACATATTCCACCTTTGTCTATAGCCTTGAAAGTCTCCGTAAGAATCATGGTCTTTTTATCGCCTGCCACCCTTCCTCCCACCTGCTGCGGTAGGAAGTTCCTCACTCCTGAAGCCTCCGTAGTTGGACAGGATGAAGTGGGCTGCTGGGGAGCGGAAAGAGCTGCAGCACCAACCAGCAAGGCCAGCTGTTGGTGACAAAATGTTGAAAGCCTCTCGCTTTCCTTTTAATGAGCAAGTATATATGGTGGGTACCCAGGGTGCTCTCAGTACCTCTAAGAACAGATGCAGAAGCAGGTGTGTAAACAAGGACCATAAGCCAAACTGCATAACACAACGTCACCAAGACGTAGGGTCTTGGCTTGGGAGCAGTAAGACAAAGGATGGAGATTGGCTAGAAGGGATTCTGTGGTCCAGAGGGTTGGCTAAACTGACAGGGACCCTCCAAACACACACCCAAGGCTGGATAAGACCCTGCACCAACCAAATATGTACACAGTGCTGAGTTCCAGTGCCAGAAAGGGGAACTCCTGGGGCCCAGACCAAGGAGAATGTTCGAGCAGGAGTGGACACAGACACAGCCTGCATGGCACATGAGCCAGAAAGAAGCTCAGAGAGCTTGAGGTTTAATACCTGCATTGAGGGCTGGAGCTGAGATCTCAGGCCCTTTCTGCACTTCGAACTGAGCTCCTTGAATGAATCCAGGCCTCCAAACTGTGCTGTTCTAATAACAGGATTAGAAAGTCTTTTCCCATCATAGGGACTCCCCTCCAAAGGTGGCTGACACCTTGGACTGTGGGCATAAATGATCCACCCTTACGACAGTGGAGCCTTGAAGTCTTGCACCACACATGACTATGGGTTCCAAATTTCAACCGTTCTCCAAGATTGAGAAATAAGAACCAGTGAAGCTCGTTGGACCCTCTGGGTCAAGAATAAAACCTCCCATGGAAAATCACTGGAGCCAGATACTCAAGACTCACGTAGAAGAAAATTTTCACCAAGGATGAACTCACAGCCAAAATTCACAGGGTCCACAGGAATCCATTAGGAGGGCCCAGAACTATAAATGGAGAAGTTTGCATCTCAGGAACTCTAGGAAATACAGCAATCTGAAAGAGAAGTGGATTCAAATAATTTATTAAAGTAGTTACTACCACCTCATGCCAAATTCTGTCCTAGATACTAAGGGTTCTAGAGAGGACCCAGACATGTGAGCAAAAATCTCATTTGAAACATACATTACAGTGGGTTATATGGGGGTGGGAGGGAGGCCAGAGACCATAAACCCATAAACAAGCAAATAATATTCTTCAAAGAACCACCACTATGTCTATGAAACCAAGCGGTAGGTAGAGAGGAACAGTGGTCAGGATGGCGTCTCTGAGGGAGTGACATTCAGGCTGACACCTAAGGAAAGGATCAAAGAGAGGAAGTCACACAAGGTTCTGGGTGAGAAAACAGGCAAATGGGAACAGCAGGGCAAAATCTGGCTTCCACTGGAAGAGGAAGAAGACCACTGGGGCTGAGAACAAAGGACAAGCTCAGACACACAACGGGGTTGTCTTCAGCATGATTGGGTTTGTTCTAAAAGCCATGAAAACACGTCAAGGTTTAAGCCAGGGAGGAGTGTGCTCTGGTCGGTGCTGTGAGAAAGTCTCTTGGTGACCGAGGGGAGGATGGCCACTGCCGCGGGGCCAGGAGTCTGCACTGGGGGCAGGCAGGTTGCTCACCTGGAGAGGCCTGACTCCAGGTGTGTTTGGGAGTAGCCCCCGTTAGGGGTGCTGCTGGGCCTATGAGGGCAAAGAGCAGCGGCTCGGGCTGTTTCCTGGGGTGGAGAGACAGGGCTCTCTGTGGTGTGGAGGCCCCACCAGGGACTGGAGCATGGAGTCCTATCCTGAGGGCAGAGCTCAGAGAGTACATGCCCAGAAACAAGATGACCAGCTGGGGGGAGCTTCAAAAAGGGATGGTTTGATCCTGAGGGCAGTGGGATGGAGAGCTCAGCCATGATTGAAAGCCAGCCCGATTGGAAGTGTACGTTTTTTATTAGCCAGGTGTGGGGTGAAGTTAGCAGATCAGGAGATGACCTCCACAAAGAAGACAGGTTGTTACTCTCTGTTCCCTAGAGAAGGGGGCAC